GGAACTCAGCCGGGTGTGTGTGCACTGTGGCTGTGTCTGGGACAAAGGTCAAATAGAGACTGACAGCAAAACGCGACGAAAATTATATTTTTTCACATTATGTTCCTATTATCTGTGTTTTTTTTCTGACATAAGACCGAGGCTTTTTCTTGCTGTTGATGAAATGTACTGAAGTTGGGTTATTTTTGCGATACAAATGCCATATGGTTCCACGTTACGCTATAGTTTCGTTACGATGCGGTTACTTCGGCGCGAAACTGAACAGAAACAAAGAAGAATCGACATTTTCTCTTTTTCTGCGGCTGATTTTGTGTCAAACATTGACTATTCGATGCAAGGGCGACTCATTTTAGGCAATGGCGGACCAGAGGGCCATGCCTAGTAGCAAACGGTAAGCATCTCCTTCGGGGGAGTTGATGCACGACGGTATGGCCTGAAAGCAGAATGTTTTGCCGGCCCTCGTCGGCAGTCCAACGAAGACGTCGTGCCCATCCAAAATCCCCAACACGGCGTCCTCCTGACCCTGCCGCAAAGTTTCATAACCAAAAACGTCCTTCGCCACACGGCGAACTCGTTCCCGGACTGCCATCGGCAGCAGACAGAAATCCGCACAGATAACTTTGACTTAGGACAGATGACTGTTATATAACTGTTTATCTTACAAGTAAAACAAAAAGCTGCCACAAAAAGTACGGCTGTGGACAAAGAATAACACAGAAAACTACGATAGAGGATTGTTATAACCTCCAAAATACGGAAAGGGCCACAGAACGTCAGGAAAGTTCGCCAGTACAAGTCAGAGGGCAAAAAATGCGTCAGGAAAAAGACGAGACAAGACCGTTATAACTTCAAAACTTTGTGACCACTGACACTTCCTGTCACATGGCCGCTCGTGTCGGGTCCGTCACGGACGAGTCGGAGAGCAATAAAAGGGGTACTTAACCACTTTGCACCTATTAGATAGCGATTAGTGAACTTCAAAGAAGCTTGCGACTCCGCACAGGCTCCGTGGGTCGCAAATTGGAGCTTCTATGGCCGGCTGGATCTTCTCTGGTATACTATTCCCTTTATTTCGGCCCATTTCTACTATTTTTCCAGCGATCCGCGGAGCCTGGTAGAGGCTAAAATACATGTACATAGTACAACTTCTGCAAAATAAAAACATACAATAAACAGATCTGAAGTCCTCTATAATTACATAAAATGAAAACATACAAAAGGTATCAGTATTTACAAACTAATTATACAGAGACTTATTATCTTTAATAAAAAGAAAATGTCATGTATGATGAACCATATATATACATGTTCTGTCTCACCATAAATGCAATGTCTTACACCTCTGTATTCCCCTTCAGTCCCATTACAGAGGATATCAGCAGAAGAAGAAATACCAGGACAGGTTAAGTGTTCTGCATGGAAATCCTTGGGCTGTTGTCAAGGTAAAAAAATGTCACAGAATTTCAAAACACTTTGATAGCCTGCTGAATTTTAAATCTTGGACTATGTGTGGTACTTACCATATTCCTTGCTTATGATTGCTACCAAAAACACAGAATGAACTAACTGTCTTCCATGATAATATCATGGAAGTTCATTCTGTGTTTTTGGTAGCAATCATAGTACAATGTAGTTTCAATGACCACTGTCACCTTCATCAGGATAATTGATGACCATTGACCAATCACTTGCTGACGTGACGTGTCTGTAAATTTGTTCATACATGTTTCAAAAAGAGAGAAGAGATCCTGTAGTTAGATCCTGTAGATAGAGAAATAACACACGAATGTAACAATTGCTTCTTCTATTCTTGTTACCAAGTTATTTACCTTAAGTGCATTTGGCCCGTGTAGGGCGTGAACATGCAATAAAGTTCATTGTCATTGTAAATGTCACATGTCTGTAGCTCTCACAGGTTTAAGGTGATTGGTCATCATATTATCCTGATGAAGGTAACAGTTATCCTTTAAAATTTCATCCTTGTGTGCCCTTTGTGTTAGGCTAAAGTTCAGCATTGAATTGCACTAAATTACAGTTACAGTAACTAACATCCGTGTCCATAATATCACCAGGGTCCATAATATATCGCCACCTTGAGAAATAGTGTGCTTAAAGATATTTTTACTGCAACATACTTTTGGTATGCACTCCTTCACACATCAAATGTACATACCTAGGGTATGTTGCAGTAAAAATATCTTTAAGCACACTATTTCTCAAGGTGGCGATATTATGGACTCTGGTGATATTATGGACACGGATGTTAATTATATAATAATAACATCAATTACCTTCAGATCCAGGCGTATGCAAAAATGTGGCGAGCCAGAAGGCAATACAGACGACGTCTCCAGTACTTCAATGAGAATGTGAGTAAAGCTAAAACACTACAATTATGGTCTTCAGTGTTTAAACCTTTTCTATCAGCCAAATCAGTGTTCTAGCCAGCTGCAGTGTCCATCATTTGACGGAATTTTGCTGTTCATGACAGAAACATTTTACCCAATCCATCATCTTTGACAATGTACGTGTAGGTGTGTAAAGGTGGAAAGAGATATCATTAAACAAACACTTACTAGTAAGCTTAAGTCTACTAGAATTTTTATCTGCCCCTCAAAATGCAGGATATACCATGTTTGTCAAAATGTTCAAGCATCCCCTCTTTTCTGTTATCCCGGACTCCCTGTAGACCTCAAACAAAGTTGATGACAGCAAAAAATTTCAGACTGGCAAGAGCACGGATTCAAATCAAGATACATGTCTTGTACTTTAGCCAACAGTAACTTTGTTTTCATAATTTAAAAAAAATTTTTACATGTAGGTTGACTCTGTGGTGAAACTGCAGGCCTTCTTCAGATCCAACATGGCCAGGCATGACTACCACCTGCTCAGTAAGTCTCCACTCTGCCATTCAAGTACTGTCACACATTCACAAATTTGGCCTCCCAAACACTAGCCTAATGCCACCAACCATGGTTAAGCTTCGGTCACAACCCGCCGTACGTGCTTCTGCGTGCTGTCTACGTGCAAAAACGTGGGCAAACGTAGGGCATCCGTGCGTGGTGAGTGAACGACGCGCATGCCCCGTACATACCGTACGGAGGAAGCACGTGTGAGTGCGGCCTCCTTACGGTAAAGATGCAATCGCACAGAGATCGTACGTTGTAAGCACATGCAACTCACTTACCACTTGCGCAATGTACGATGCACGCAACCGGTCACGGCCAGACGTGGCGTGCAGACCACACTCTTACATCTTGCAAAACCATGCGAGTGACGTGCATCGACGCCACTCCTTCCCCACGTTTTCAGAAAATACGTAGCAGACGTAGCCTCCCAAAAAACTTACAGTCAAAAAGCACGTACGACGGGTTGTGACCGAGGCTTTAGGAATATGTCGGTGCAAAGGCTGCTGCTGTTTGGGGAATTTGGATGCACCAATACAGAGGGTTTAAAATTCCAACCATTCAGGGGTGACGTCTGCAGTGGTCGGGGGTCAAATTTGACTCAGATTTAACTCAAATTCACTTTGATTAATATAGAAAGGTACATGTAGGTGTGGCCTAGATCTGGTCAGACTGCTCCCGAATGTGAGCTGAAGCTGGTCAGCTGGTGTTCGGGAACAAATTCGGGCTAAGGTCGTGCATGTGATACAACAGCTTAATGCTAATGCTTTTAAAAAACTGCATTTCTACTAAGATCACAAAACCCACTAATTATACAGAATGTAGGACTATTCATTATCCACTGCCTTCAAAGAAGAAGTCGAACCCCATAATAGCTAGCGTAGTAGTAGAAGTAGAAGTTTTTTCCAGACAGTTGTTACCTGTCTCCTGTTACTGTAATGCAATGAGTATTATACTTGATTGTAAATTAAAGCAATTAGCCTACGGGCATGATTTTGCGAATAAAGTTTAATGTGTAAAGTAAATAGTTTGAACTGTACAATTAATTATGAAAATGCTATTTGAAAAATGCTGTTACTTGATTATACATCGGATGCATATGGCATGCAGAGACTGGGAACTGAAAATAAAAAGTGAGAAACTGAGTGCCTTAGTTACAAAAATGTGGAAGTTGTTGATTGAAAAGCTGTACCTCTTCCTGCAGCACACTCTGACAACCCTCCTCTGTCGGTGGTGCGGAAGTTTGTCCACCTGTTGGACCCCAACGATGTGGACTACAATGAGGAACTTGGTAAGGCCAACATGCTTGGTGCAACTCAACCCTTTTTGCTCATGTGTTATGATATCATGTATAATGTAGCCAGCTGCCGCCATGCCACGTGCCTGCAAAGCTGCGGTTATACCGGCTACACAGATACAGAAACTGGTGTTACACCGAAGGGCGGTTATACCAACTATACAGACTGATACACAATGCTATGTCTGGGGGTTTTGTGGCAGCTGGGTGCTTTGTGCTGACCAGAACATTTGAAGCACGAGTGATTGTAGGGGCAGTCGTGTTCGAAGCATTTTCAGAGCCAGTTGGCTTTGCGGGAGACCAATATGTGAACTAGGTGGTGGTAGGCAATGAGCTGTGGACTGTGTCATACAGATCATGTGTCAGTTTGGTTCATAATATATATATTTAAATGTTCAACACTTTGACAAGACCAAATCAAGTGTGCTACAACTGTAACAGTTAACATCAAGAAACATTTGAGTAATGCATTTCTCACATGCATGTCTAGACTATGTCATATGATCTTGATCTTGATTCTGTTTTTAAGTTTGATCATACTACAAGCCTGCTATGCCAAACATTTCTTGGTAATGTTGTTGAAATTCAGTATAAGATCATCTCACTGCCCCCAGTCTAACCTAATGTCATAACAAAATATAGGTATTACTTTTTGTGTATATTTTGTACTTTTTTAGTTGTATCACTTTGTATTTGTACTCTGATAATGTATTACCGGTATTTTATTTGAGACAGAAGTATTGAAAACGATGTATCCTACATGTATTTAATGCTGTGTACATGTTGTACCAGTTCACTGGACTGGTTTGTTGTTTAGGTTCAAGTCTAAAAAAAACTAAAAGGCAAGAACCAGTTCTGGACTTAATAAAAAAAAACATGTCACATACAGTTTTGTACCCATTTTTATTCCAAACCACCTAAGATTTTCCATATATTGCAAAATTTGTGCTGCAAAATGAAGTGCGGCCTCCATGTGGCCACATATGTGACCACAGTTATGCCCAGACAACATTGCAAGGTTGCCAACATGTATTTACATGTACAATGTCATGCAATTATGCCATGGATATACAATCATGTAGGTCTGGACTTACAAGTCTGGATCTGAACCTAAACCTCTGGACTTGAATCTGGACCAGAACTAAAATGTGGGTTTAGGTACACAGCACTAATTCCACTTTATTGTAAGAAAGCAGACGTGGATAGATAAACAATGCCGTTTGTCCTGTTGCACAGAGGTGCAGAAGCTGCGAGGACAGGTTGTACAGGACATCCGAGCCAACCAGGAGCTGGAGAACAACCTCAACCTCATGGACATCAAGATTGGCCTGCTAGTCAAGAACAGGATCACTCTACAGGTTAGGATGGGCACCATATGTCAGCCCTCCATCAGCCCAGGTTCTTCATCCAATCGTATTTGGGGAGGGGAAGGAATTCATGGATTTTCGAAGCCTTCAAAAACACAATTTTCCACATTTTGAGTGGCAAATCATGGTGTTGAGAGTGGTGGTCTTTCAGATGTTTTCATATTTTTACCCAAGATTTTTGTTAATTTTGCCTGTCAAGGTTGACAGATTGGTTAAGAAAAATTTCTGTCACACGCCGCAAAGTTCCAGTAATTAACGGAAAACTGGTGCTGGGTAGAGCCCTGCCATACATAGTTGTTTGGTGGGTGGGTGTGTGTTGACATAGTTCATCTGTTATACAATATAATTTGGATTATGTTGTTATTTACTTAATTGTAATCATTTGTTAATTTTAAATTGATTTAACAATCAGCTACATCATGTATTATGTTATTTCAGCCCATATTTATCGTTTAGTTGTCGGATGGACCAAATTGGTTTCTGCCTTCCCCCAGAATACTCTTCTTGTGTAGTTTACTTCGTATTGGTTTTTATTTCTGAATAAAATAAGTAAAGAATACAGAATACATTAGTCATATGCATGTTTCATAAATTGGATACACATTACTATAGACTTGGGTTGTTAGCAACAATGGTTCAAATGCATCACACATTTGGAATCACAAATTTATTATCCTTTTCAATGCCCCCTGTCCTGCTGTAGGATGTTATCACCCATGGGAAGAAGCTGAAGAAGAGACAACAGTCCACATCCGGTGGAACCTCCATGCCTGAGAAGGGAGGGCTGAAGGCACTCCACAAGGACAGCCGCCACAAGCTGGAGATGTACCAGAACCTGTTCTACCTGCTACAGGTCAGTACTGTGCTGTGGTTGGGTGTTTGGCCCAGAACAGATTCAGATTCAGATTGGCTTTATTGATGTCGCAGTGGAGTACACTGAATTAAGATCAATATTACATTTAAAAAAAGGTACAATATAATGGTTGGCGATATAGGGTTAAAAGGTAGTGCAATAGCACAATACAGTACATGATTAAAATGTAGTACAATAATCAATAAAAGAGGAGCGTCATATATACAAAGAATTGGTCGTGACAGTAAGAGAATATTCGCTCATTGACAATGCATTAAAACCCATAGGTCCTGGGTTCAAATCCAGCAAAAAGCCCTGATGCTGTGCCCTTGGGAAATTTCTTCACTTCACTCTGGGAAAATGAGTACCAACATTGTACAATGTGGCTGAGGTTAGGGATGTCCCTCGGATAGGACTTTGAATGGAGGTCCCGTGTGTATGGAGAGCCACACACTATGTATGTTAAAGAACCCACCACACCTTTTGAAAAAGAGGAAAGTCATATCCTGGTGTGCAATGGTCCAAATGCAACAGCTACAACTGTATGATAGTTCCAGGGAAAAACTAGTTTTTGAACACCTCAATCCTTGCATGGTTGATAACTGAAAATTCCTCAGTTCCCTACTGTACTTCATTCCCACCCTCCAGACCAATCCTGTGTACCTTGCCAAGTTGATCTTTGAGATGCCGACAGGGAGGACCACCAAGTTCATGGAGTCTGTGATCCTGAGTCTGTACAACTACGCCGCCAACGCTCGGGAGGAGTACCTCCTGCTCAAGCTCTTCAAGACGGCGCTTCAGGAGGAGATAAAGTAAGAACCCAGGCTTTTGGGAAGGATATACCAGTCCTGTAGACTGTTACAGTAGCACATGTCTGATGTTTTTCCAACATGATGAATGGGAAGTAACAAACCAGGCAAAGACTATTTAGCTGAGCCAGTGATGTTGTGCTAACATTTCTGAGCATGTCAGTAATATGCAGCCCTGATTCTGGTATTAGAAATTATGATCTTTTTGTTTGTTTGTTTGTTTGTTTGTTTGTTTGTTGCAAATTGATCCTTGAAAGATTTCGAAGTGCTCAGACTTTTGTTAGAAGCCTTTTGAATTTTGGTGATTTGTTTTCGCGGCTGCTGATGGATGTAAAAAAATTCAGCAAATTTGATGCTACTTGCAATGATTATGCTACATTTATTCACGGTGGTTTTGCACATTTCATCTCTGACGCACAGTCTTCTCTCTCCCTCAGATTTGATTTGTTTTTGTAAGCATTTTGTTGAAAGTAGTGGGTAGTGTCTACATGTAGCAGTAGAAGTTTGGTGTGGACTAATTCATATATTAAGTTTTCTCGTGCATGCCGTGTAGCTTGTATAATTTAGCTTCTGACTTTTGGGTATATATCAGACTTACATGGTTTATTTTATTCACCACTCTCATTTTTAGAAGGTCTGATGCGTTTCCTCTCCAATCTGTTCTCTCTTTAATCTAACCTTTCCTCTTGCCGCACCGTTCTTCCCTGGGGTACCTTAGCAAAACTATGTGAGTACTGGTGAAGACCAGACACTTTTCTTGATATTTTCTGTTTGTTCAGGTTTAAGGTTGGGTGGTAACTTCAACGCAGGGTTTGTGCGCGTCCTGTCATGAAGTTTCATGAACAAGTTTCCTTTGAAAAGCCAGGAAAACGAACGATTGTGATGTTCTGGGCAAATGCCATGGTTTTATTAAATTATTGTTGTACAGTGTACATGTATTATGACCATGGTCCTAATTCTGCAATCAAATTATCATTGAATGATTGACGTTACATGTAAGTCTAATTACAAAAACAGAAGAAAGTTTGATGGCCTGACTGCAACATAAAATTAAGTCAAGGTGCCAATGACCTTGAAAAATCACAGAATCATTTAATTTACCGTCTTGTGCACGAACCCTGTAAGTGCCCTGCTTGGTGGCTTGGAATGCATGCCATATTTTCGCACTGCGTATGTAAAAAGCCAGCACAATCAAGTAATCGCTTGATGATTTGTTTGCCTGCTTGGTTTCGATAAAGAAAACTTACAGTACAAGAATCTTGGAACCGAATGAAGTGTAACCAGTTTGTATAATCATATTTTTTTTAAATGATGAAAGCGTGTCATGCTATGGAAAATGTGCAGTTGAATAAAGCTGCAGTACTGACATGTAACCTTGAAAAGGTACTAAAATGTAGTCTAACTTGTGTAACTAACAGAACTAACTGTTTGACATCATAATTTCTAGTTATCAACCATGACATGTAATAATTCTATATATATATATATTAACCATTTTTGTTGGACATATAGACACAGAATATTTGCCAGGTATTTGTCATGTCTAGTTAATAGGCATTATCATTGATTGAAGGATTATCATACTGGTCACGTAATGTTCAAAGAAAACTACAAAATGTTGCATTAATGCTGAACATCTACATGGTACACAGTGTAACAGGCAACTATTTAGGCTGATGTTGTAACGAGATACAATTGCTAGTCATGGAATTTGATAGAAATTTGTGGGAATGTTACATGTTGTATTGTGACCTTTCACTCACGGAAGCCATTGTTGCCCCCCTCCCCCTTCAGTAACAAGGTCGACAAGATGATGGAGATTGTGACAGGGAACCCCATGGTCATCAAGATGGTGGTCACCTTCAACAGGTAGGAATACATGGACTTTATATCTATCATTATGTGAAGCTTCAATTGGGGAATCAAAAGATTGCCTTATGTTTGTGTTTAGAATAAAGAGGTTTCATAGTTTAAGGGTGCACACCCCAGTTTATTTGGGGTTTCTATTCGAAGCTGCACACCCTCACATCTAGCGACCGTCTCTGCCGTGGAATGATTTGGAAGAATAACTGTATACATGTGAGATGAAAGGATATCTCTTCACCTACAAAGTACAAGACCAACGGAGTTTGGTTTCTTCAACCTCTTTAATTGTGGTAAAATCAACAGAAAAAACGTTAATTTCGCTCCGAAATTAATGCACAAAATTGGGAATTTTCGGGTAGGATAGTCGTATAGAAATAAATTTGCAGGCAGAAATGCCTAGCCTGATGCTGGCAGAAAGACCCAAACCTTGACTATATCCGAGTAAATTATAAAGAAAATTCTAGTACTGTAATTTTTTAAGTCATCCACAGCCCAAGGGGTTGCAAATCGACTCTGAGGAAGGCGCGGAACGAAATCTAGGTCGAACGGGTGGATTACACTTAGAATTCCCAGAAGCAAGGTTCGGAGCCAAAAGAAATTTTCACCCCAAAATCACCATTTCTTACACTCTTCGGCCATGTGAATGTTTTAATAAATTAATAATATTTCATGGCAGTTTATGAGAAATGTCACCTCAAACGTGGACCCTCAAATTTAGTCAAAACTTTTTCCTCACTTTTTTTACCACGGACTACCACGGACCCCGGTTGCAGAAGAACTGGGGTGTGCACCGTTAATAAATCAAAATGCACTTTACAAGGCTAGAAATTTGATTGACGAAACCTTGTTTTTGCAGTATTTCTATAAAATATAATATAATTGTTTCTTAATTCTTACTTGAATGTAGGAGGTAAGATAAAAGATATAATTGAGTACTGTATTAGGTAAGAGTACAAGCAGGAAATAGTTCTTGCCCTTTTCCAGTGTTTGCTTTTGTTATTGAGAAATGAGAGCAAGTTCCTATTTGGTGACTGGTGCTGCCACATCGTAAGTGGGGGGCCTGCACTCCCTCTTTCCCTCCCAAAGGTAACCCAGTATCAAGGGAGTGCAGCCCTCCTCCCATGTTACCAAGACTACATGATGTCATGTATTGTCCATGTTAATTTGTTATGTTTGCATGTAGCATTTGTATGTCATCACCTGTGCCTACAAGTGTGCATGTGTTCATGCATGAATGTGTTATGTGTTATTAGCCTTAAATGTCCAGCATGTAAAGATAAAAAGGTTTATAAAAAAAGCATTAGAGATTTTTCAATGTCTTGAGCTAAAGAGAGCATGTTTCAAAATAGTAAACCACTAAATACAATAAACACTATAATTTTCTTCTGATGGATTTCATATAGTGTATGTATGTCATGTAACATGTACATGATATTACATAATTTATGTATTCCTGTCCAGAAATTTCAGTGAAGCTACTTTTATAACTGCCTGCATGTTACATGTAGCTCTGTAGGGCTTCAGGGCTTTGGCCAGATGAGGTGCTTTTTTATGTGCTCCTTCTTGTTTCTCATAGATGCACTGCATTGCCTTTGAGTTGAAATTCTTTATTACAATTTCTGTTGGTTTGCTTCATTTGTTTGTCTATTTGTCAAAAAGCAACCGTTTCTTGTTGTAAACATTTGGTACGAAAGTTTCCATCCCCTGCATAACGCCAGTTTTTGTAATCAACACTACTATGACTCTTGCCTAGTTCTCACCAATAACATGCCTGAAAGATTAAATTTTTGACCCAATGAAGACAGTAACAGTCTTAGAACTAAGGATAGGAAAGGAGCAATGAAATCATAAAGAATTAATTTGATAAAAGGAGCAACTAAAACCCTGTCCATAACTTGAGCTTTAAGTTTGTTCAAAAGAACTTAAAGAAAGCAATGTTTAGCAGCTTTCCTGTTGCCCCCCTCCCACTCCCTGAAAGTTGACAGCAACAGTAGCTACACTGCACCCTGCATTGTGTTTCTCTCCTTGCTTGCCTGCAGCTGCACTATGTATGACATTGTGGAAAGAAGCTTTTTTTCTGCCAAGGCAAAGGATCAGATTCTTCTCTTGGGTTTGATGAACATGCCACATTTCAAGACCTTCTACTCAACAACAATGCAAACAAATCAACTTCGAATTCCCTGTCAAAGTGCAATGGTCAAATTGTAAGGATACTGTATTTCTGGCTGAAGCTCTGAACCACCCCTCTAAGTCTAACACTGAAATCAGTGAATCCTAACCCGTCCGTAGTCGTCAGTATTAGGAGGCGTCAGAAAAGGTCTACTCTATACCATACAGATGTGTTTTTAACATTTCTCTGTCTGATCGACCCAACTAGCAAGTACGTTATCCCCATAACTCGGCTCCACCGAGCTTACTCTGTGAGGGTTAGGTGTAAAGGGGACAGGAAACGAAGGGAAATGGTGGTGCAGGAGGTCCTCAGGTAAAACTTCTCCAGAGTAACGTAGCCAACCCTGTAGCCAATCTAACCTGCATGGTAACAGTTCTGTGGTAGAAGAGGTGGTAAATCTCCTGTTCTTTAGCGAACAACAGTCTGTTGAAGAAAGAAGGTAACAAAAATGTACATTTCAAATACTGCATGAAAACTCTTGCTTGTGTTTCTTCTAGTCATTACCTACTAAACTAACCTAAATGTAACAATTCTGTAGGAAGCATTATTTCTACCACGTTGCTTACTTTTAGCAGCAGAATTTTCATGCAGCTACGCTAAACCTAGTTAGGAGAGAGCAATAGCAATGACCAGTTAACTCTACATGTATCTCAAAAAAGTTGGCAGCTTTTCTAGCCCTCTATCTGAGCCCTCCCTGTCTGCATTTGTGCACACTTGCCTTTGCCTGCCTGCCTGCCCTTTTTAATACCTGCAGCTCTCCGACCTTTACCTGTGTGTCTGTCAGTACACTTCAGACTACAGCAGCAATGCTAGGCAGCCAATGTGGCTGAACAACTTGACATGATAGTCGTGAAGGCATTGTCATCATCATTATGTCGGGCTGTTTTCCCAAACTAATTTACTCAACTTCGAATTCACCAAGAGTCTCTACAAAGTTAGATATTATAGCCAGACATAACTAACAGCACTTCCCATAAGCCGCGCGCTGGATTCAGGCATGAAACAATTACATGTACTAAGACCTGCATCAGTTGTGGACAATATACATACAGTCAAACCTGCCTATAGTGGTCACTCAAGGGACTGGCCAAATTTGACCACTATGGCCAGGTGACCACTATAGAGAAACAGCCGGTTAGTTGACCCCTCCCCCCACCCCAAAAAAAGGGACACATGCTTTGAGTACCAACAGTGGTCTTTATTCTAAAACATATGAATACATACATTTGCAAAGGTAAACCCCTTTTATACTTTATTTTGTACTTGCTTGAAAAAAAAAAGAAATACAGAAATATTGCATGGAAACATTAACTTGACATACACTCAACATATTCAGTTCATCTATTCTGGGACAATGAAACCATTCACATTAAAACATACAAAATCACTGGTTGTCATTTACTGTTCTTGTGTACATACTAGTATTACATGTGGCTAAAGAAAAGAAAGCAAATCAAGCAACAAACTTTCAACTCCAAACAAATTTCTATCGACTGCAAAATCATTTTAATCTAAGCTCAGCTTTCGACGATTTCTTCTCACTCTCTCTGCCAATCGGATCACTTCCACCTTTTGGAATAAGTTCGGCGTCTGTCTTTCCCCTTTCGCCAAGCTATGCACATATCTACGCATTTCAAGGAATCGAGAAACCAAATATGGATATTCTTAAGTTTTTTTGTGAAGATAATTGCCGTAATCTTCGCCGAGCGGCCGAGTCCATTGAAAGCTCCAATGCGGCACGCACGGCCGGCACTGGTGTTGGGGAAAACGCAGATATCAAAGACACCCGCGACCGCAGAAACTTCGTGTCAAAAGCCAGTTTTCCTTTATTTCATACACATATGGAGTCTAATTTTCAGTTCACATTTTAGTAATGTAGCGATCGGAAAATTATCACAAGGCTCATAACGGTCGTAGCCCGAGGTGGGGTGGTGTTACGGCCGTGGTGCTTAGCGGGTTACGGCCAGCCGCGACCGCTATCGGCGGTGTTGACATGCCGGCGGGACCAGAATGGGGTGACCGCTGACCGCGTTGAAGAGTGACCGCTATAGACACGATTCTTAATGCTTACGTCAATGGGAAAAATTCAAGGGACCGGCAAAAACTGACCGCTATGGCCGAGTGACCACTATACAAAGGTGACCGCTAGTACAGGTTTGACTGTACTACAAATTCTGTCTTATTTATTTGTAAGAATTCATAACAACCTTGACACCAAAGATAAATGACATACCATAATCAATAAACTGCACTTCTCCCAGAGTTTCTTTGTGTTGTATGATAATGTTAAGGACTTTGTTTTAAATTTGTGTCATGTTTGTGTAACGTTATATGAGGTCACCTGTTCTTTACATTTGATGGGACATTAGGTAATGTACATATACTTCATAGAGCTCTTTGATTTGTTGCTATATCGGATTCCATTATTGGGAATTATGTATACTTCCTTTGTAACTGAACTATCGGTCTGAACTCTGAAGGATTCCAAGGGACTGATGGAATTATTATCATTTTGATTTTATCTTAGACATGTACATACATAATAGTCTCATTAGATGGAGACAGATCTCTGTTTTGTCCTCCTGTCAATGTACATGAGCTCCCCCTCGTGACTTCCCTTCAGCTTGCAGGTATTTTCCTGTCAGAGAGTAATTCTTACCTTTGAACAGTGTTTTCTTTCTGTCATACAAATTGAGCCTTTAGAACTGACTCGCTTGGTTTCCATTACCCCTTACAGTATACTGATATCTTTAACAGTTGTAGAACATTCTGTGAAGAAACATACATTGTACCAGTAATGTTAAAGTGTTACTAATTACTACAGAGATAATTGTGTCACTGTTGTCTCAATTATCATAATAGAAGTCACAAGGGACCAACCAATTTGCTATTATAATAATGATTTTTTTAATAAAGAGGACAGAAAAAGAGAAACACAGAATGGTCCCAAACAATTTTGTGTTCAGAGGATGTTAACGTTACTGATGGTGACCTTGTCTGCCCTCCCTCCCGCAGGGGCACGCGAGGTCAGAGTTCACTGCGGGAGATTATCCAGCCCCTGGTGCTGACCATCATCAAGGATAAGGAGATGAGGATCAACTCCAACCCCATCGAGGTCTACAAGATCTGGGTCAACACCATGGAATCCAAGACTGGAGAGACAAGGTGGGTCGGAAGAAACATGTAACATCCGTGTCCATAATATCACCAGGGTCCATAATATCGCCACCTTGAGAAATAGTGTGCTTTAAGATATTTTTACTGCAACATACTTTTGGTATGCACTCCTTCACACATCAAATGTACATACCTAGGGTATGTTGCAGTAAAATATCTTTAAGCACACTTACTCTATTTCTCAAGGTGGCAATATTATGGACCCTGGTGATATTATGGACACAGATGTTACATGGCAATGTTTTGTTGTGAAAGAAACCAGTATGTAATCTTTATACTTTAGGTAAGTTGTTGACTAGTGGGGTTATACCACTCCGACAGGGTTATAATATACCTGACCCTTTTCAGGTGACATACCATACAGTAAATCACTTTATGTTAATGGTAGCAAAAGTTCGCGGTATGAGGAAAATGGACATGTTCAAGGAGCTATACCTTTCGCTGTGGTTTGCAGCAAAAGACAGTTAGCAAATTATTTGTTCACGGTAATGAAAAGTTCATGGTACATAAGTTACCATGAAAATTGCGAATATAAATTAAAGTGCCACAAAATTGTGATATACAGTACCTGTTCGTAGGCTAATACAAGACAAAAATTTTGGTAATGTGTGTTCATAGATAATGTTTTCTGGATTTGAGGGACACAAGATTGAATGTCAAGTATATCTGGCAAACTGAAAATGATGAACTGCAAACTAGGGTGCAGTACAGTGGTACAGTTTTTGTGATTGAATTTAAATGTATAGACTCTGAGGTCTTCTGTCAATAGATAGCTTCTGTATAAAGCTCATTGTCTGAATCTCCTAAGGCTATAATTTGACAGCACGTTGGCAAAACGTATTGTGCCTGAGTGTGCGAAACCCTGATTTTTCACAGTGTTTGTTGGCTGTTTAGTCATAATTTTGCCTGTTACAGATGATATCTTTAATTTCCTACACAACATTTGGAAACTACCATATAATGCGCAACTACAACCTTAGGCCACACCAATTTAATTTCTTGGTTAATGGATTCGCTTCATTTTTTTCTGATTTGCAAATAAAAATAAAAATTCAGAATCAACTGCAAAATGCTCCTATTTTGCCCTGAACAGTTGAAAACAGTCCTTTTCATCCTAGTTGTTACAGTTATTCCATCTTTCAATGCAGTAGTTTCATTAAGAGTTCAAAATTCATTGTTTAAATTTTGAACCAGCCTGGTGTGTTGACTTCATGGCTCCTATCGTACCATTTTGGGCCATAATAGGATGCCTAGGCCTTTTTTTTTTGTTTCGCCCGCCCGCTCCATTATTTTTCTAGAAAAATCCGTTAACCAAGAAATTAAATTGGTGTGGCCTTATATGAAGAGTCCTGCCGAAATGCTATGCACAAGTCAATACATTATGGTTAATTTTGATGCTTGTAACTTCACAGTGTCTTATATCAATTGCAGCAAGTTGCCGTATGACGTGACAACAGAGCAGGCCTTGCAGCACCCTGAAGTCCGGGAGCGACTGGAAGCCTCCATCTCACAACTTCGCAACGTCACCGACAAGTTCCTGAACACAATCACCTCATCTGCAGACAAGATACCGTACGTAACACCTTCTTTCAGAAGCTTAATACTGAGAACAATTCAGCCCATCCATTCACAGCATTTTCACAAAGAAAAACTATACAAAAGCAGGGCTTGAAATACCCACATGCAACTTTTTCAGGCAATAGGGGTACTTGGTTGTTAATCCACTGCCTTTTACCTCCTCAACCATTACACCTGGGTAGATTGAATAAAAGTTGTGACTTTCCCATGGACACAATGTCTTGCCAGGAATGCCACAAATCAAACGTGAGACCTCTTGGGTCTGCTAGCCTAATCGCTCAGCCATTTGACTCCACATATTTTTATGTATTTGTTTGTGCATGCATGTCTAGAATAGGCTGGGTACCATCTGGATTTTTCTCCGCTTTCCTAGTGTAGGGGAGGAAAATCCGAATGGTACCAACTTGAAGGCTATGTCTGGATCGGAGAGCATGTTGGTAGAACATACTGTGCCTGTGCGAAACCTGGATTTTTCATGGTTTTTCGTTGGATGTTAAGTCAACATCGCATGAGAATTTTGCCCATTCCAGACAATGTCTTTCCTGACACAACACTATAAACAGAATGTCATCTATAAATGCATGAATACGACCTTAAACAAGACGTTTAGCCGAAGTGCTATGCAAAATACATCACAGGTTTTACTCAGGTACTGTATGTTCCGCCAACGTGTTTCTCTGACGGTGTACTTGTTTATTGATGTTGGATGTTTATGTTGTACACAGGTACGGGATGAGGTTTATGGCCAAGGTGCTGAAAGACTCGTTGCACGAGAAGTTTCCTGATGCCACAGAGGCAGAAGTGTTGAAGGTGCGTTGTCCCCAAATCATGTGCCTAGAACATGTTAAGATGAATGAGGAAATATAAGTCTAGCATCAGTGTGTCCAGCACACAGTTATAATGTGAACCTAGCAAGATACATATTTTATGGTACATGTGTACAGCCTCCTGTTAGGCCACACCAATTTAATTTCTTGGTTAATGGATTCGCCCACTTCATTTTTTTTCTGATGTGCAAATAAAAATAAAAATTCAGAATTAACTGCAAAATGCTCATATTTTGCCCTGAACAGTTGAAAACAGTCCTTTTCATCCTAGTTGTTACAGTTATTCCATCCTTCAATGCAATGGTGTCATTAAAAGTTCAAAATTCATTGTTTAAATTTTGAACCAGCCTGGTGTGTTGACTTCTTGGCTCCTATCGTACCATTTTGGGCCATAATAGGATGCCTAGGCCTGTTTTTATTTTTTTTCGCCCGCCTGCTCCATTATTTTTCTAGAGATACTCAGTCAATAGGGATCTTTAGGACCCTAGTGAGACATATGAACTTACTTATTTAATCTATTTGTTGTTTGTATTTGTATTATCCATAACCCCCTTGCCCACATACACACCCTTCTCGACCTTGTCAAAAAGTGGCCTGTCGGCTGAACAAGCAATCATTCATTCATAGTACAACATCAATCAATCAAATCAATCAAATGGTGTTTTATTCATAAAAAACGTGGACTTTGCAGCCAAAGGCTGAATTACGTCCAGTTGTACATGCAAATTCATTTACACATTTATTTACATTTATTTACACAGGCATTAACACAAATATCCACGTCATTATTTACAACGACTTTAACGTACTGTATCTAAGACATACAGTGACTGTTCAGGAGGTAGGTCATGTATGGGACGCTACTCTGTTTGTACCGCTCAGTTCTACATTTGGTAAGAGTCAGTTTGTTACTGGAACGAGTGGTGCGCTCAGTGGTGGTGCCCCTCCTGGGCGGTAGCCAGTGTTTGAAGTCCTGTGATCTGAGAACTTTCACAGCAAAGTTCAGGCAACTCAAGATTAAAATCAGTTACTCAAGATTAAAATGTAGATCAAATAGTAGCATTTGCAACGTCTATGTTAATTATGAAGTATCTAGCTCAGGGTAAAGAGGTTAAAGATCTCTGTTCTTCATACAGATCGTAGGCAACCTACTTTATTACCGGTACATGAACCCAGCGATTGTGGCTCCAGACGGGTTTGACATCATCGACGTCAATGCTGGAGTTGGCCTGTCACCGGACCAGCGGCGAAACCTCGGGTCCATCGCAAAGTTGCTACAGTTCGCAGCCTCCAACAAGATTGTGAGTATTGTCTTGTAGCGAAAACTGAAGAAACATTTAGATATTTGCTTGACATGCTCTCCCTTTCCTTGATTAGGCCACAGCAACTAATTTTTATGGATGACATCAGCGCGCGCATTAATTTTCGCCTGATTTTTGAGAAAAAAACAAGAAATTTTGTTGCCTTCTGACAGTAGTCAACATGCCGAAAATGGTAGATATGTCTGTTGCCATGCCGGAAGGTGGATGGCAGATAACTATGAAGAGAGGAGACAAGAAAAGGCTCTGATTTAATGTTTTGTTTCTTACTTTGATGCAGTGATGTGATGCTGGCTGACTGTATGTGATGTTCCCTGTGACTGAATAAAAACAATTTTGTACAATGATTGAGTCAAAATCTTAAATTGTATGAACCTTGTTTTTTTCGGCCCGCCTTGTTTTTTTTTCGCCCGCTCGCATCAGATTTGGGGTCTGCGGAGGATGTCATCCATAAAATTTACTTGTTGTGGCCTTAAGTGCAGAATGTAATGTTGAAGTGTTATAATGAGTAATTTTGTGGCTTTACTTTGAGTACTCAACACTGCCACAGTGCGTGCACCAAATCTATTTGGTACATTGCTAAGGATCTAGGTAACATGTGTCAACAGTGTGTTCTCTTTATCCACAGTTTGACGGAGAGAATGCCCATCTGTCTTCTCTCAATGATTATGTTGCACAAGCACACGAGAAATTCAAGTAAGTACCTGGTGAAATGATATTTATAATATAATAATGATGTCACACACCATACAATCAATAAATGCAGAGTACATTGAATTTTATTGAATAATAGAAGTTCAGAATTTCTGTTTTTAGTTGAAAACCAGTTGTTCCTAGTTGTTTTTCTCCAATTAAGTCTTCACAACTTCTGTTGTTGCTTCAGTGTAGGTATCATGTAGAACCAGTAACTGTTGATTTGTTAGCACCAGAAATCAAGCTTTTGACCTCTTCACTCTAAGACTTGATGTGGAATGTTCAGTCAAGTTCATTTTTGGGAATAGGTGTACTGGTGCACCCAACCTAAAAAATTAGGTGCACCAAAAAATGTTTGGGTGCACCATAAAAAACAAAACACTTATAATTACAGATCTTACTGCTGCTCTTCTGAGCTTGAATCTGAAGCTAACTTCAAAATCTTAAACAAGTACTACAGAAATAGTTTTATTATTTTTATTTTCTGACACTTAGATGCCAACATTATCCTGAATTCTACATGTAACATCTGTGTCCATAATATCACCAGGGTCCATAATATCGCCACCTTGAGAAATAGTGTGCTTAAAGATATTTTTACTGCAACATACCCTAGGTGTGTACATTTGATGTGTGAAGGAATGCATACCAAAAGTGTGTTGCAGTAAAAATATCTTTAAGCACACTGTTTCTCAAGGTGGCGATATTATGGACACAGATGTTACGTTTGATAAGTTCAAAAAAAACTACAAAAATATTTGGGTGCACCAGTGCACCCACAGAAAAAAATTGAGTGCACAGCTCCAATTTTGGGTGCACTAAGGTGCACATGCACCTAGTATTTCGAGCCCTGCTTTGACTTTCAGCATCTTGTCCTTCTCTCTCAGGAAATTCTTCTCTGCAGCCTGTGATGTACCGGAGCTGGAGGAAAAGTTCAACATAGATGAGTACTCAGACTTCACCATGCTGAACAAACCTGTGGTCTACATGTCCATCAAGGAGATCTGTGACACTCACAAGGTTAATACACTTAGTCTGGGTTTTCTGATAGAAAAGTACAAAATTGTCAGATTACATGTGCTGCCACTGTAAAAAAAAAAAAAAGAAGTACGTGTACATTCACTGCGATACTTGCAAAAGTGACCACCTCTATAAGCTGGCCATCTGGTCTTAACAACAGCTTTTTCTCAGTCCCAATTTCCCCCTTAGACATAAGCATTAAGAGACTTGTCTAGTGCAACCCTGACCAGCACTAGTTGGGTCTCCACATGGCCCAATCCCTGCCAATGACTACCTCCATCGTCATTTTCAAGCAGATGGCAGAAAACGTTTAAACTAGCGAGAAATCTTGATGGAAATCGCCAGTTTCCATTGATCTCAACAACATGACAGTCTTTTCTCAATGTAAAATGGCACCGACAGGGTCACTCTGGGTCAATTAGGCAGTCTATTGTAAAATGGGGGGAAATTTTGCTGTGGTTTTCTTGCTAAGTCCTATCTTGTCACTTTTCCTCGGCCCCCATGGGAGTCTACATTGACTGTAGATGTTTAGATCTTTCCAAGTAATACAGTTTGTTTCTTTGTTGTTTATTTCAGTTTGCACATAAAAATAAAAACAGTATGTAATGACTATGTGCAACCAAATGTGCGGGAGAACCCAAGAAACCTAAGGGTTTATCGAGTGGGTTATCCTGAAATCCAATTGTTTTTTTATGACCACTTTTTACACACGTGTATAATAAATAAGTGACAACGAAACAAACAAATTAAATCAAAATAGATACAAAATAATATAAAGTTAACACAAAGAACTAACTAACTTATTGACTAAACACCAAAGTAAGACTATCAAAAACATGTCAAATTGAACAAGAAAAAAATTCCATTAGTCAAATCATAAGTTACTATATATGCATAAGAGCAAAGGATAAACATAAGAAAGCAATATTAACACAGTACACAATCATGCAAACCCAGAAATGAAGAGTAGTGATGTCTGTTGTTGTCTAGCTGCTGATTGACCACCAGGATGCTCTCGCTCCTGAACGCCAAGACCCGCTACACGAACTCCTGGACGACCTCGGAGAAGCACCCAAACTGGAGGACCTCATTGGTGAGTCAGAAATCATTGACTTCATACTAGACAGTCTTTGCACCATTGTAAAGAGAAAAGAGAAGTATCACATTCAGCTGAAAGATGTACATGTACAGGGCTGCAGCAAATAGAAATCCACAATCATACACCTACATTGTACCTGTACATTTTGTTGTACATGTCTAATGTGTACCCAGTACATGGACTGGTGCAGGTTAGGTGCCTGTAGACATAAGAAATACCTGCACAGCTCAAATTTTACTGTACTAAGTGCAATGGTTCTCTTTGCATTCGTTACGTTTTGAGTTTGTTCCTGGGCCGAGTAATACCAAAATGGTACATACATGTACTGCAGACAGCTTTCTCTGCCTAGCACTCAGCATTTGTGCTAATGTGTGTGGTAGTTAAACACACACACCACTACCAGTGGACTTAAGCCCCCTACTGTAGTGATTTCACAGCTGTGTACTGCCCTATGCGTCACTTGATGCGGGAAGGCTCTTTAACTTTCAACTTTAAGGTGCATATGCACCCAGTATTGCCCTGTAACCATGGAGATATTTCTCCTCTACAGGTGAGATCCCACTGGATGAAAAGGACCCAAACCTGGAGGTGGAACGAGACAAGCTGGCCAAGACAGAAGTCTCTCTCACCCTCACCAACAAGTTTGAAGTGCCAGAAGGGGATGATACTGACATGAAGGCACTCTACACAAGGTGGGACAATGTTGGAAACTGGCTAGACTAAGTGCTGTGGGGGGAATGTTACAGCCTTACATCAAACTTACATCACTGGTAGAGCCAAAAATGTCTATAAAATGTCTATCGGACATTAGACATTCTCGAAAATTCCGAACATTTTTAAAGCATTTGTAAGAATGTCTTTCCCAGGTCTTTACAGGGTCTTTTTGGGGAGGACTTGCTTGTGTTTTCCATTGTTCATGAGGTGTCTGTCAGAATGTCTCAAAAAGAGTGAAAACTTGCATTGATTTCATATGAAAAGCACTGCACAAAGCCAAGACAATTTAGAGAGCAGGACAGAATTAATTAACGGACAGATGCTAATATCTTTATAAGTATGCATTGTGCTAAACAAAGGACTGTCTCCTAGGGGTGTCCCTACCTGACGTGTGAAGAGACTATGGATATAAAATGTCCACCTTGGGTTATTTCGATGTCGTTTTTCAGTAACTATGTCTGCTTTTCTCCCGACTGGCCTTTGTTCAGCAATGTCTAAATCATGTCTAATGTCCGTTAGACATTTTATAGACATTTTTGGCTCTACCAGTGCATGTACATGTACAGTCTGGTCCCTGGGTAGACATCTTGAGAATGTGTAGTCACCTGTAGTCACCTGTTATATCAATACTACATGGACATAAATGTCATGAATCTTAAATGAATCATAACTGAACTGTCTGAAAAACTAATCTACTTGTATACTCGATCTCTTGCAGTCCGTACATGACCCACCTTGTAAGCCTGTATGGACAGTAACCTGTTTTTCTGTAATACATGTACTAACTATTCAATATGTCCATGTCAACTCCTGTCTGTCCTACAAATGTACATGTAAATGTTATTTTAAGTCAGTTTATGTCATGATGATGATAGAACCGGTTATTACTTTTCCAAGTTACCAAATTATGTACACTGTAGTCATCTTTTTATGTACTACTAGCGAGTTTATAACTTTTTTAATTGTAAATTGGTTTTGAATTCAGCGTGCAACACTTTTAGTTTTACTACCAATAAAGTCAATAAAGCCAGTATCTCTAGATGATGAACGTATGACACATTGTGTCCTGTCTGCAGAACCAAGCGTCTGATCGTGGACGTGATCCGGGTACAGCCGGGGGATAACCTGACGGACATCCTGACCACGCCCACCACGCTGGACCAGGAGGACGAGCACCAGAGGCTGGTCAAGAAACGGGAGGCGCAGGACGAGAAGTCGCAGAAGAAGGGCGGTCTGAGCAGGTCACAGTCTGCACATGGAGACAACAAGTAAGTTCAGCCTCGATATACCGGTATGCTTATTGTACATTGTGTTGAAGTACATAGTCTCCTGTCAGATGTAGTACACAATGTAGTAGTTACAGTAGTAGTAGTAGTAGTAATAGTACAACATGTATATATAGTAGAAGTAGTAGTAGCAGGAATAGTAGTAGTACATGTAGTAGTGGTATGTGTAGTACATGTAATAGTAGTAGTACAGTATGTAGCTGCAGTAGTTGTACATGTAGTTGTAGTAGTAGTAGTAGTAGTAGTAGTTGTAATAGATTCCAGTACTACTACTACTACTACTACTACTACTGCTACTATTTGATTACACTGCTGCTGGGATTGCTGACACAGTGTTAGGCAGCAGTCAGCTTAAGTCTTCACACCACATTTCCAAGCGACTCTGTCCAGCAGGTCCCACCGGCAAGACAGCACTCTCTTATGTCCTTCCTGACACACTCCAACCAGGATTTCCCTGGCCTTCCCCCACCTGTTGCCTGGCAGCTGTACATGTAGTTCAGTGATGGTGTGATGCGGCCACTGACTTGATTGACATACCCATACCACCGGAGTCCAGCAATGACATGATGTCCACACCTACATGTATCTTTGCTTTTAATATGATAGTCTAACTAAGGGTAGCTGATAGTTTCTTGTCCTGGGGTTCCCTCACAGATCTAGTCACAGTAAGAAAATCTGCATGCCTAGGCCTCTGGTGGCCAGCTCTGCCAGATATCCTATAACCTACGTTTATATCATACCCAGGCCGCAATAACGTTCGATAACGGGTTCCGGACCGGGCTGTACTTTGTACAGTACGGCCCGGGCTCCATGGCTTCCATAGAACAATTCGAATGCGTGCGCCGCTTTCAAAAATTCCAATACAGAATCCGAACGTTGGAACTGATGTTGTTGCATTTGAGGGTTTAGGGGCACCAACTTTTGGTTCATCTTGCATTGAAAGGCGCGTTTTCTTGGGTGGGTATGACATAAATAAAATACAACACAGTGTATTCCACATCGCCCTCGGTCCCGGCCCTCCCTCAAGTCGGATCGCCCTGTGGCCGTCGGGCAATCCGACCCGCTGTCGGGCCGATACCTCGGGCAATACTGAATACCCTGTGTTGTATTCTACATGTATAAGATGTCTTGTGTGTGTGTGTTAACAGACTGCCAGTGGAGGCCATGAAGAGAAAAGTACTGCGTCACCTGCGAGCCCTGGAGGGAGTGGGGCTGGTGTCCAGCACAGACAACTACCAGGTCATGATCAACGACATCGCCAAGGTAACGGGGGATTTCTTTCAAATGGACTTGTCACGGTTCAGAAGGAGGCTCTTTTAGTTGATTTTCGTTAGCTGTAGGAATGAGTGTTCTAGGCCCGGGGCAAAAATATCAATTTTGGCTTGCATTGAACAGTGCGCCGTGCCGCACGTCTTGTGCGACAGATTTTTTTAACGTTTGGCAATGACACTCGGCATCGTGCGTCGATTTCTGTGCACATCAGGGTGCACCACAGGAAAATCAATGTGCGGTACCAGACTTGTGTACACACTCAAAAAGTCTGTCGCACAAGATGTACAGTGTTTGCAGGCCAAATGATAACACTATTTGTCTACAATTATAATATCATTTTGCCCTGTGTAAATCGCAGGCCCAATGTCAATTTTTGCCCCGTTTAAGTCGGGCCCTATCCAGCTTCTGTCTTTCCATCAGTTTAAAGAATTTTTCTCCTGATGGCATACAAAAATTTTGCCCAATCCGTCATCTCTGGCAAACTAGAATTAGCATATAAAGGTATGGGAAGAGATGTCATCAAAGCAAGCTTAGTCTACCAGCAAAATTTGTCCCCCAAAATGCAGGAAATAGCGTTTCAAAGGGTCAGGATTTTATAATTTTCTGGGGCCCCAGGATTGATATGTCTCCAGTGCTACACCTCGTGCACTCATTGTCCAACTGTACATGATGTTGCATCAAACAAAATTGAGATGACGGAAGAATATAGAGGCTAGAACCCTGGGCTGCATATGGTAGGTGTCTATTTGGAAATGTTGCATTAATGTTGTACTATGTGTACATGTGTAGTTTCCTGTAAGTCAGAGTTATGTTTGTGCAAGGCTAGAATTAAGGATATTGACCTTGTTCTGTGTTTAAAGTTAAAACTTTTGATCCAACACAAAAGAAATCTCTCACCTAGAGCTTTCGACCAGTCACTCTGGTCTTCCTCAGTAGACTGACCCATTGAAGCTTGTCACATGCAGTGTTCGAAATACCTGTCTGCAATCTGCAGATAGATTTTCAAGATTGCAGAAGAAAAATTTATACTATCTGCAATTTTGCAGAAGGAAAAATAGGCTCCAGATTCAATAGTTTTCAATTTAGCAAACTAGAACTCTCTGGCCCCAAGGAAGCAACAGGAGCTTCTTCCCTAATTTGCATCATCCTTGTCTTGACTTGTGTATCTTTTGTTTCCCTTTGGACTTCCAAAATTTGTCTTCACTAATTTGCATATGAATCAATAGTTTGTGCTTATAATTATAAACCTGCAATTCTCTTAGTGTCACTGACGAAAGGTAGTAGTCTAAAAGAATTCCAGTAATGCTACAGATTTACAAAGCTATATATGATGTAAAAAGGAAATAAATGGTTTGAGAAGGTTGTAGTATGGAGGCTTGTGTATTTGCAGAAAGTATTTTCAAATTGCAGAACAAAATTTGACTCTTCTGCAATATTGCAGAGCATTGAAAAAAAGTATTTTGACCACTGACATGGCTTTTAGAGACCTCTCGGTTTCCCCAATGTACGTTTCCTGGCGGGGCCCCTTGATGATTTTGCCCTTGCAGGGAATGTGATAAATGTGAAATACCTTTATTGTACATTCATGCCACGACGGGCTAGGTACAGGTCAAGACTTAACAGACACATAACAAGCATGTGTAGAAAAGTGTAAGTGTATACAAAAGATACACTGCTTGACTTAGACATACATAAGGCACATACAAGGATACTATACTAGGCAAATACAAACTAAGTGTTCCACTTACTGAGCTAATGCAGAGTGGTCAACTTCTTCTCGCTTTTGTGTACAATGGAAAATGTGGGAACAGATCATGTTTGTGATACAGGGTTTGTCTAGACGCATCAAAAATATAAATTTATCGTTTGCATTCAGGTGTTCGAAGTATGGGAACTTCTCTTTGATATGATTAAAAAGGACACTGTCAGATCTTTCATTAGAATATAAAGTACAGTCTAAAATAAAGTGTTGTTCATCCTCTATTCTATTCATGTTACAGTATTGACAGAATGACACCACCATTCTGTTCTGACCTTGTTCTGTGTTTGGCAGGACATCCGTAACCAGCGGCGATACCGTATCCGCCGCAGACAGGAGCTGCTGAAGCTGAAGGAGACCACCAAGGCTCTGGAGTCCAAGAGTCAGTTCTACGAGGAACAGATCGATTACTACAACCAGTACATCAAGACATGCCTGGACAACCTGGCCAAAAAGTAGGCCATCTGTCTCACCTGCTCTTACTTATTAATTGGTGCTGCAGAATTTCTGCTGATTTTCATCTGGCCATGTTGATTTGATTAATATATGAATAATTTTCGTCCTTTTCCAAAAAAGTTTTCAACCATACTACATGTAATATATATATATCGTACAAAGCAGCTGAAAAATGAGCAAATGATTCCAAAAGTAATGTTAAAAAAAGATATACTGTAGATTGCCAAAAATAAATTACAAAGGAAAAGAAGAAAATGTGAAGAAAGGAAAATGAAGAGTCATACCATACTCTGTGTGTTTAGTCATTTGTTCAGTGACCATGTAGATTTCAAAATGAAGGCAACTTTTTTTTTGCCAAACTTTGTATGCTTGCATCAGTTTGGGGTTCCCACAGGATGTCATCCATATAATCAAATCAGCATGGCCTCATTTTGTTGACTATTCTCAGATATACTCTTCTTTGCTATGATATTTGCTTTTTTTATTGTCAGAAAAAATTACTTTTCATCTGTTTTCCTCTGTGCTCTACTGTGGTAAGATACAATTATTGTCTATTTGAGCTATGTTAGTTATAAGGGTAGCACATCTATAAAATATAACTGAATACAGCTGAAAGTAGAACTTTAATCTTAATATTGTTTCTGACCATTACTTTTCAAATATGTAACTGTCAGGAAATGCTATGCTGTCTGTATTTATTATGATCTTTTTCTTGTACTACATTCATACAAGGAGTCAGCACTCAGGTACACTAAGGTATGGGGATGTGTCCAGACTTACATTTGTACCCCCTCCCTCTGGTGTGAGTCAAAAACATACCATCCACATTTCCTTCTCCTTACACTCATCTGTGCCCATGTCCTGTCCTTAGAAAATCTTAGTCTATTTCATTGATCTACTTTTTCCTGTCAGTCTGTTGTTTTTGTGAGACTGTAGACAGGGTTTGAAATACTTTTTTTCTCAGGTTGCTCACTAGGCATCCTAAGCTAAAAACAAGGTTACCCATCAATATTTCAGGTTGCCGTCAACACTGGCTGATTTTTTGAAAGTCATAAGCCAGGCCCTCTGCTATAGCTCACATGCTGGCCGAGGCAGGTCACAGTTTATTTCAGAAAACGTAACTTTCTTTCCAAGCAACCTGACATCTCCAAGAAGTTTCTCACAGAAACTAAAACTTCTGCATTATAGTCGATATTTCAAACCCTGCTGTAGATTTATTTTTCTAGTGGTGACAGTCAGTAGTTGTTGCTCCTAGAAATAAGTAATATTCCTATCAGGTAATACAAATATTGTAGCCTTCACTCTCATTATCACCTGGTCTGTTCCACAAAAAGCATCATGAGGTCCCAGCATTGTACTGCAGCAGTGACACTAAGACCTTATGAAGCAAGTTTAAACTGTAATTTCCATCACAAGAAATTGGACTCACCCAAATTTTCGACTGTACAACTCCAGTTTTTGTCAAGGAATGAGCAATCCACCGCTTCGGTGACGTCACGCAGATAACACACGTGACAACCATCCCTCAACAGACGGGGGGCACCACAGACTTTCTGCAACCTATGATCCACTGCTCACGGAGTCACGTGTGTTATCTGCATGACGTCACGGAAGCAGTGGATTGCTCATTCCTTAACAAAGACTGGAGTTGTACAATCGAAAATTTGGGTGAGTCCAATATCTTGTGTTTGATATTAGTTTTAATCTTGTTTCATAATGACTTCTACCAACACAGATGAACTTTCAAGATAAGACACTAAGACCTGTTTTGTCCCACAAGGAAACGAAGGAGCAAGTTCCTACAGGGCGGGAAGGAGGAGAAACCCAAGAAGGCCAAACCTCCGCTGAAGTACACCGGAGCACGGCTGCACGAGAAGGGAGTCATCCTGGAGATCGACGGTCTCCCTCCCAACCAGTGAGTTCTGACAGTGGTCAATATCCCGAAAATGGGCAAGGATGTCTGTTGCCATGCCATGAAGAGAGGAGACAAGAAAAGGCTCTGATTTAATGTTTTGTTTCTTACTTTGATGCAGTGATATGTGATGCTGCCTGGCTGTGTATATGTGATGTTCCCACTGAATCAAAACCATTTGTACAATGATTGAGTCAAAATTTGAAAATGTAGGAACCTTGTTTTTTTTCGGCCAGTCTTGTTTTTTTTTTTCGCCCGCTCACATTAGATTCGGAGTCTGCAGAGGATGTCATCCATAAAATGTAGTTGCTGTGGCCTTACTGGTGTTACTGGCTACTCTCTCTTCACAGCCAAGTGCTGACATGTGAGGAGCTTACAATTCAGGTGTGGCTGAATGGCAGGGTCTGGAGTGGCTGCCATTTGACTCTAACTTGGGTGACCTCAGTATGCTCCCAGGTGCAGACTGAGTCATTAGACTGTAAGGTTTGAACCACTCACACCAGGCCTCCTATGATAAGCTTAATGGGTTTTTTAACATGCGTGGGGTGTGGCTCTCCCCAAACACAGAACCTCCATTTAACATCCTATCCAAGGGTCGTCCCTAACGGAAGCTACATTTACATGTAGGTAGTACTCATTTTGAGTGAAGGGAGGAAAGTTGTGTAAAGTGCCTTTCCCAAGGGCACAAGATTAGTGACATGACAGGATTCGAACCCGTGACCTCTTGGTTATGAGTCGAATACTCTGCTGTTACGCCACACAACCCCGCATGTTGACATCATACCTCAGTCATCTATTTGTCACATAAGAAAATAGTTTTGTGGTCAAAGAAATACTACTTGGAAGTTTTCGAGACTTCTCATGTCATTGATGAGTGGCCTGTGTGTTTGTTACCTTCGCCAAGAAGGTTATGTTTTCAGAGGCGTTCGTGTATGTGTGTGTGTGTGTGTGTGTGTCAACAGCATAACTCGAGAAAGCTTAGATGGATTATCTTGACATTTGGTAGGTGGGTACATGTAGGTCTTGATGAGACCTCAAAATGATTAGATTTTGGGCCCCCTGGCGGCTTGTCATGGTACTGCAGCTGAACTTCCGGTTTTGATATCTCATGATCCAGACATGCTAAGGTGACGAAATTTGGATGGCAGGTAGCTCTTGTGCTGGGGATAAAGTGACATGAGTTTGAGCCCCCTAGTTGCTTGCTCTGGAACTGCAGGGGGGTTTAAAGGACAAATGTTTAAAAGAGGATAACTCAAGAACCGATTGATGGATCATAGTGATTTTTGGTATGTAGGTAGCTTTAGTGATGCTTGACATAATGATATTACAATTATGCAAATATTGATGTAATTTGCATAATTAATGAGGAAATTCTATAAATCAGCTGCATTCCATGATAGGAAGTTCAAGCTTGTAACATATGTTATTAAGAACGAGAAAAACACAGGCAAATATCGATTATGCAAATGAAGACTTAATTTGCATAATTAATGAGAAAATGTTATAATTGCATAGTGGTAACTGCCTGAAATTTCATACTTGGGATGTTTGAAAGTTAAGTGAAGGTGAACATAATTAATCATAACTTATTCAAATAAGGACCACATTTGCATAATTTATGAGGAAATGCTATAATGGCATTCTTTGTTAAGATAAGACTGTCTTTTGGTGTAGAATATGATCAACAGACTGATATAATTCATGCAATCGAGGATCCTATTTGCATAATCAGGGTGATTAGTATATTTCTTATTTATAAAGGCTAACATCATTTGGCGAAGGTATGAGATCGTGGAACTCTAGTTTTATTATAAGATGATGTTTTAGGAGAGGGCAACAATATGTTGGAGAGGGCAGCAATCCTTCTTACTATCCACATAAGGTGCCTTAAAGGTACCTGCAAAGGAAGAAATGGAACCGTACTTGAGCCCTGCTAAAAGAATGGATTTTTGCAGTGAAGTTTTGTGTTATACATTACATGTTGTACATTATGCCATGTTAATTTGATTGTATGGATGGTTCCTCTGAGAACCCCAAACTGATGCGAGCGTGCGAATAAAAACAAGTTTGACACCCAAAAAAAGTTGCTTTCATTATGAAATCTGTGTGGTTGAACAAATGACACAGAATATGTTATGGCGAATAATCTACTCTTCAAATTCATTTCTTTACGTTGTCTTTTTCATTTGATTTTGGCATTCTACTACATTGGTATCGTTTTCCAAATTTTTTTGCAACATACGGTATATATTTGCTCATTTTACAACTGTTTTGCATGATTCTCAGTATGGTTGAAAACTTTTTTTTTCCTTTTGGAAACGGCCAAAAATTCATGTGCGCGCGGATGTCATCCATATTATCAAAAATAAACATGGTCTTAGTATACAAGCCTTCCAAATCTGTTATTTGGTTACAGTGTAAGTCAGCCATGAATATTTGTATCAGAGTGTCTGATCTTAATTGTGTGTGTGTTTTTTTCACAATTTTGCACAAGTCATCACTAGCGTTGCCTGTTGTTTGACCTCCCATGTACCTCACTCAAAATCAGATATCTTTAATATGCTCCTTTCTTGTCCTACTCAGATATCAGTGTACGTTGGAAAATTCATATTTCAATCACTACAAAAGCGACACCATATTGTAAATAGCTGATATATCCCCTGAATTACAGAATGTAATAATACTCTCCCTAAGAAAACACAATAGACTAGCTCGTTAGAATCATATTTTAGTATTAGTTTATGTATGTACCATTGTTGTTTCTTTGCCATACATTGTACCAGCTACAGTTGTTGAGCAATAAAGTTGATTGATTGATTGATTGTGATGTTTTTCCCAGGTTCAAGAACGTTCTGTTTGAGATCCAGGAAACGGAGGATGCTGGCAAGTTTGAGGTGTCGGCCAAGTTCATGGGCGTGGCCATGGAGAAGGTGGACTTGAACCTGCAGGTGAGCCTTCCTTCATGGACCAATCACACGAGTGCTTTCATATCAAGTCACACCACCCATTATACATTTGTAGCGCCCGAAATACTTTTTTCTGCATACCTGCACTGGGGCAGGTAACATTGAAAATTATTGTTTGTTTGTTTGTTTATTTGCACAACAGCAATAAAAATTATACATAATACACTAATAATAAATAAAACAGGTGCAGGAGGAGGGAAAAAAGCTTATTTAGCTAATATAATATGCTAAGCCCTCCTCCTCTATACTAACTAAAACTAAACATAATTGAATTGAAATACATACATATGGAATTGTTATCGAAATAATTCAACCATGGGCAAAATGATACAATAACAATAATATGCACCAGACCAGTTTTACCTGCACCACTCAGAACTAAGAACTATGGATCATACTAAAAGCTGTTTAGAAACAATTGCCATTATTCCTATACTTGGTACAGTGAATGCATCAAATAAAAATCCACATTATACATGTACCTAGTACATTGTATATATAAACACAGTTCATGGACCGGTGCAGTAACTTGTGTAGATTGTATTTCGAGCCCTGACCAGTATATTACATTAGGAAGGTTTTTACTCTACTTTGATATAACATTTTAGTTTTGATTTGTAGGTATGGTACAAAAACTTCATAATGCTACATTTCAATGATGAACTTTGGGAAGAATGAGATGCTAACAAGGTCATGAGTTGCCTGACACTTAGACCCTGTTCATACCAGACTTACATGTATATTTAGCAGTTTCAACCGGTTTTTCAAAAACCGGTTTTTATGTAACCTGGTGTGAACGCAAATTAACCGTTTTTTAGGGGTTTAAATCCGATTTTCTGGTCAGCGGATGAGACGCTACTGATACTTATTCATGTATTTTTGGAGAGCTGGAGGCGCCGAATTCGAAAAAGCTGGGGGGGGGAGGCTCCACAGAAACAAAAATGTTGGAGGAGCCTGGTTTCTCGAAGATAAAGGATCAGTGCTGCAGTAAGGTAATGAACATGAAGACGGTATACAAGAAGGCAATCGGAAGAGCGGGAGGAACGGTTATTCAAACTGCAGTCATGGCCGATTAATTGGATATTCACCGGACAGAATTTTTACAAAAACGGTTATGAAAACTTTGGTATGAACGCTAAGGGTTTTAGCCGGGTTTTCCTCCGCTAATTATTTAGCGGTTTCAACCAGTTTTTCAAAGTCTGGTATGAACAGGATCTTAGTTTATCTAACCCTGTGTACATTGTACTTGTTCTGCCACAGGACCTTTTACAACTGCAGTACGAGGGTGTGTCCGTCATGAACATGTTCGACAAAGCCAAGGTCAACGTCAACCTCCTCATCTTCCTGCTCAACAGGAAATTCTACGGGAAGTAGTCGACTTTCAAGAGCTACCAAACTACGGAGGAACGCACCACGGGGATGCTTCATGTAAAAAAATACCTCGGACACAAAGTGTAAAACTTTGAGGGCACTGGAACCAACTGTTGGTAACATTTTATGGGATAAATGCCACCATTGTGGGCCTTTGCTTTTGTAATGGAGGATTTTAGTTTGGCCTTCCATATTTTTGTTAAGTGTCTTAGCTCAAAAATATTAACTTGCATACGTCAGATAGAAAGACTAGAGAATACTGAGCAGTCTCAGATAAGTTGTGCTTGTAGTATGCTATGTTGATGGTTGAGTTTTGTTAATTATGAGATATTTTGTGGCTTCTATATTTTGTATTTTCAGACTGCTAACTAAATTGCAGTAGACTGTTCTTGTTTATTAAGGGCAGTGTGAGTTAGATACGGACTGTCCTGTTTTAAGGTTGACAGTGTGATTATGAGAATACTATAGAAGATAGAAGTAGTCTTTGAAGTCAGAGTAGAAATGATCCTTAAGGCATCTAAGCTGTACTCTTTTGGCAAGGTACTCATTTGAACAGTTGACTGCATGTAAGAAACATGCCACAAACATCACTCAAATTGGTGCTTTCTGATGTTACAAAGGGTTGTTTGACCTATGGTACTTGGGGCCTACAATGTACAAGTAGGTTCACCACTCCTAAGAAACACTTGACTTTTCGGTCGTAAGACTTTGTCTCTTCTTGTAAACATTGTTCACCTGAAATCAGACTAACAAGGCAATCAATAGACGTACATAACTCGAGGTGTTCAATGTTACATTGGAACTGGCTATATTGTCTGCATTCCTGTTCTAAGGGTAAACAGAAGCAAGAGTCCTCTGACAAGTTTGCATGCACTTTTCCACACAGACATGTACTATCTGAATGAGCCCTGACTTTCACATTTAAATGTTATGTGGACAGAAAACTACATTACTAAGTACTTAGTGAAAGATTCAGGGTGACAACATTTCATTAAAGGGCTGATGGGGGTGTCAGTTTTATTAACCAAGTTTCACAATTTGTTGACTTGGTCTCTGCCTACATACAGGCAGAGAAATGACCAGAGTTTCTACATTTTTGATTGTTTATCTTTCATGGTGGTACATGTATCTTGGAAATGACTTGCAAATTTGTTAGAGGAGCCTTGCCCTGATTGAACTGGAGGTTTGTAATGGAATCATTGCTGTACTACAGTTTGACATGTTTCTGGGTAATACAGACCTGTCAACAGATTTGTACCCTCTCTACCATAACTGTGTATCTGTCATCTTACTGTATCTCCATGTTTATATCATGATTGAACCTAACAATCAGCACTAGACTAGACTAGATCTTCAGAGATTTTCACTACTAAAACAATGATATCTATTTCTATTGTCTACATCACATCAATCTTTGAAAAAAACTACATTGTTGTTTGTGTAACAACAGAAATCTTGCGGGGTTGGGAGCATGGGCTTTTGAGTTGGGAAAGTGTACATGAGACTGATTTTTTAGCATTTAAAAGGCTGCATATTCTATCAAAATAGTACTTTGACATGCATGGCATGACAAGCATTATGGTTTACTGGTGTTATATCTGATAACTGTTTACACACACATACAAATGTACATGTGTGCACACACAAACAATTATGTTGTTTTGGCTTGCATTAGCTGGTTTGCTAACTTTGCTTTGTGTCTTGTGCTTACACGAAGCTTCGAAGTTTGGTGTTGATTTTCTTTAATTTGTGCCATGTTAATCTCTCCACCCACCCATAGCACAGGCAGGCATTGTCTTCCTCTTCAAACAAATCAACATCAGATACATGTCCATGTGTATCTATAACATACTGGGATGTGAAGTATGAAAGTGAGAGATAATGACAATAAGTTTCCACCAAGTAGCCTTAGTAATGAACTGACTCTACAAATCTAGGTGATAACTTGAGATGTTTTTATGAACTATAGAAACTTTAAGTCTTACCCCTATTTATGAGATGTATTTGATAATATTGCTAGAGGCAAAGTTAAAGCTGTAGTTCTGAATGCTATGTACTTAACCCACTGATTTGTTACTGTATGTGCTTTAGGGAACTTTGCAAGGAGATATGTTTAAAGAGTTTTTTTTCGTTGACTTATATTTAGTTTTGATACAGGTGAAAAGTAAAATATATTGAAGAAATTATATTATGAAGATACAATGTATTACTAGTGTACGGGTAGGTACGTTTGCCTTAGCTGTTGCCTGCTGTTGATTTTGAGTTGTACGTGCTCAGATATTTTAGTGATGATCTTTGGTGACGAAATGGCAAACCTGCTGCCATATTTGTGTTGACCTGCTGGAACAATTTCTGTTCTGTCCTGAACTGTTCTTAGTACATTCCTACAAAACTTTCCTTACATTCCCTTGTTGGAGCAGAAAATCACAGCAAATGTATTTAGTTCGCCTAATAATTTTTTCATGATTGCTGCGCCATTACTTTTCATTTACCACCTGGAATTATGCGTATTTTACTCGAATATACAGTTTTTGGTAATTGTATAGATATGAGTAAATTGCATCAGATGACCATAGATTAACAGGTATATTGTAATTTGATATCTGGACTTATATTTTTGTTCCCAAGTGATGACAAAGCCCAGTCACAGAGGTATATCTCTACATGTTTTAGTCATGCCGTTTGCTACACTATTTCTACACTTGACTTGTGGGACAAGCAGCTTCTGTGTGCATGAGTGGAGATGACGTTTTGTGTTGATTTTACCAGTTTGATTTTCAAATGTCAGTCTACTTTAAAATTCCTAACTGTTCCCAGATCTAGTTGTATATAGTAGGTTTTGACTATCGCTTGTAGTATGAAATGCTGCATGGAAAGGATGTGCCCAATAAAGCATACATTGATTTTACTCGCTGAACTGAACTAGTCCTTATTTACTGAGTCGTTCAAAAATGACCATTAGGCCACACCAATTTAATTTCTTGGTTAACGGATTTTTCTAGTTCTAATACAACATATATGCAAAAAACACATATAAAACTATTTACAAAAGATATATCCAATGTTGGAAAACAATAATCTAATAAAGGGTTAATGCACTGCCCCGAGTTGTATATGGTGTCATAACTGCATGAGCAGCTGCCATAACCACCGAATAAACCACCGTGTGAGCGAAGCTCAACAGCTTTAATATATATACATACATAAAAATACATTCGAATATATTATACGCTTTAAAACAAATATGGATAATTTCATTTAATGCAAATTGTAGTTTAAATGAAGCTAAACAAAAAAGTTTATTGGACAGAAAAATGCTACAAAGGTTTACAGAAAGAGTCGCATGCCCCTATACCCTATAACATAATGGTATCAGCCATAACACGACATGTGCTGTTATTCCGCCATAACACCACATGTGCTGTTATCGGGAAATAACAGCACGGGTATCCGGGCCTCTGATTGGTCCACGCCGTCCGGCTATATGATAATATACCATAATATACAAAAGACACCAAACAAACCAAAAAACAAACCAACGGACCAACCAACCAACAAACCAGTCGGTGTGATAAACTTAACTTTATATTTCTCATTCTTTTACAAATGTACAAAATATATAAATAATTTTGGAAAACAATACATCTAACATAACAATTATTATTATTACATACAAAAGACACAAATAAAATTATTAATAAAAGATATACGAAATGTTAGAAAACTAAATACATCTAATATAACAATATACAAAAGACATATAAAAGTATTTACAAAAGATATACACAATGTTGGAAAACAATACATCTAATATGACATAATATACAAAAGACATATAAAATTATTTACAAAAGATATACACAAAATTAGAAAACAAAATACATCTAAATAACATAATATGCAAAAAACACATAAAATTATCTACAAAATATGTACACAATGTTAGAAATAATAATATAAAATAATACACAAAAGAGACATTAAATTTAAAAAATTATTTGCAAAAGATATACACAATGTGGAAAAACAAAATAAATCTAATATAACATAATATACAAAAGACATAATATAAAAAAATTATTTACAAAAGATATACACAAAGAAAGAAAAAATACAGCTAATATAACATAATATACAAAAGAAAATATCAAATAATTTACAAAAGATATACACAATGTTGGAAAACAATAATCTAATATAACACAATATACAAAAGACACCAACAAACCAACCAACAACAAACCAAAATAATTTTGAAAAAAAATCTTACATAACAATTATAAATATTACATACAAAAGACATATAAGATCATTTACAAATTAAAGATATACATAATGTTGGCAAACAATACATCTAATATAACATAATATACAAAAGACACAAATAAAATTATTTACAAAAGATATACACAATGTTAGAAAATATACATCTAATATAAAATAATATACAAAAGAGACACATTAAAAATTATTTGCAAAAGATATACACAATATGGGAAAACAAAAAACAGCTAATATAACATTAAATTAAATATACAAAAGATACATATAAAATAATTTACAAAAGATACACACAATGTTGGAAAACAATAATCTTATATAACATAATATACAAAAGACATCCAAGAAACCAACCAACAACAAACCAACCCACAAACCAAGCCAAGAAATCAACAAACCAAAAAACAAACCAAGCAACGCACCAAACAACCAAACAACCAACCAAGAACAAACCAACCACCCAACAAACCAACCAGCCAACAACCCAAGAAACCAACCAACAACCAACCAACCACCAACAAACAAACAAACAAACAAACAAAACAACCAAT